GCTTTTGCTGCCAGAGCCGAGGTTAGTTCCCTGCTTTAGGTGGCAACAGCCAGATTTGCCCAGCACAGGCTTGGCCACTGGCCCAGGCACCCCCAGCTCTGCCCGACTTGCTGATGGGCACAGCAAAGCGAGCCATACCAGGAAAACCTGCTTGGCTTCTGGCATCTCTTCTGAAGTAACCCCTAGTGCTCATTTTTTCTAGAAAATCAGAAGATTTCAAAGCCTTTTGTGAAAGGCAGAAGAGTACTGCAAGCCTATCACAATGGGTGGAAAGCCAGAGACCTGAGCAGGTAAAGGACTTTCTTAAAATCCATGAAAGGTCAAGGCAAACCCCATCAGACCCTGTGACCCATCCTTCTGGATGGCTTTAGGGAGCACTGCACTGAACTGTGTTGAGTGCAAGCATCCTCCGGGGAAAGTTGCTAGCCGCCTACACACAAGCCACTAGCCCCCAGCTTTACGTGTGAGGGAAGGCAAGCAGATTTAGTTTGTGCAGTGGCTGAATTCTGCCTACCAGCAAACCTGCCCAGGCACCGAGGTTGGGCAGCGCGGGACTACCTTGCGGCACGGGTGTTCCTGGGGCAGCTCACAGCGTTTGGTTGTATGAGGGTAAAGGTGTGCTCAGCAAAAACAAAAACTGAGGAGCTGTCAGGTGAAAGCCACGCTTCTCCCTTCGTTAGCATGGAGGTGGAATGGGGACAGAAGAGACCTAACACCAGGGCATGCAGGTGGATTTATAGAAATACTTAAATAAGAGCATATACTTTGGCATTTAACATAATCTAACACATCGCAAATAACATCCCACCATCACTCAACCAGAGCAGCAATTATTTTCCAGTGCTGCCATGTGAGCAGCAGTGCCCAGAGCTCCCGAATTAGCAGTTCCAGCAGCAGGGAGATGGCACGGCAGTGTGCCGGAGCCTGGCCCGCGCTGTGGCCAAGAGCTCTCACAGGAGGCTTTTGCTCTGCAATTGCCTTAGAATAAGGGAAAGGAATTCAATTAAATGCACCCATCACCTGGCAATGAAATGTTACTGTCAAGGGTCCTTTGGGGGAAGCCACCGAGGCATCCACTCCTCTCTTAGGAAAAATGGCATGGACATCTGGACCAGCCAAAGAGGGTAGAGTGAGAGATGAAGGAGGTTACTCCAAACCCAGGTGTGACCAAGGGATGCTGAGACACAAAATGAACAAGCGAACTTGTGCATCAGGCCGCCCTGCTAAGGTGAGCTTTAAATTAAGCATGACTGCATTAAGACGCGTTCAAGATAAGATGCATTTTCTGCATTACATCTGAAACACGAAGGGGAAGGGGTCCCCCCAAGAAGGGCAGCCACGGGGGGGTTTTTTTTTAACCTCCTCCTCCGGTGGGAGATGGCGTCCAGCACATAAGTGGCGCATCGTCCCCCCGGATGCATTTGCAGTATGCGCACCCCTCACCCATCTCGGGCCCAGAATCATCTTCCTACAGAAAGCAGCAACATGCACCTGGAAGCCCAAAACCCACGGTGCTGGGAGTCTGTGAAATGAGGCAGTGAAAATGAGCAAGAGGTCGATTCTGTAAAAGCCGCCTCCGCCCCCTCAGCAGAGAGGCCACTTATCCGCGATGCTACCTGCGGCGAAGGAGCAAAGAATTGCAATGAAGTGAAGATGCGATTTCTTTTAGTGGGTCCTGAGCCTCCTGCTGCAGTTAAGACATCAACAGAGGCGCACATCAGTGGAGTCAAGTTGTGCAGGCTTGCCGTCCTGGAGGAACCTCTCCTGCGAAAGCAGCTCTAGGAGGAGAGTAGAAAGGGTTGCGAAACACACGAGTGAGCAAAGCCGCGTGGCGTTGCCTCTGCCGCCTCCACGGCAGGGCACTGCTGTCAGCCGCCTTGATGGAGCACTGCTTTCACACGGCGGCCCGCCTCCCAAACAACATTTTCTCTAGAATGGAGCTGCATGTTAAAAGTCAGCATATAAAAAATATTTAGGCCTTGCCTGATCGTAACACACCTTCCCTCGAGCATGGAGGAAATTCTCAGCCTGGCTTTCTTGCTCTGGAATCGCCAGCAGAGCAGGGCAGGATCCTGCAAAGCCTTGCCCCGTCCCCACAAAGCCAGCCAGGACCACAGCGCTTCCTCCCCCCCAAACGCTTGCACTGCTTTCAGCTGCATCTAGTTTTTTTGTCCTGGACTCCGACACTGTGGGGTTTTTGGGGTGCCCAGCCCTTCGCTGGCACCCACAGGTGGTGATGCCCAGGGATGCCTTGGGCACACAACGCCTGTGCCATGGGCACGGGTCACTGGCATCACAAGCACAGTGCACTGAAATCAAGAATTAACATTAAGAGTTAAATTCAAAACACAAGGAAACAGCACCTAGCACAAGGCTGGAAATAGGAAAAGGCTGTTGGAGATGTGAGCATCGGGACCGAGCTCCCCTGGGTGGTGTTTTTGTAGGGCAGGGGGGAGAAACAAGATGACCAGGAGACCCTGAGTGGGTGGGAAGGGTCCTCCAGCCGTGGCAGTTTTTGGTCCTCCCTGTCCTGCTCAGAGCTGTCCCCATGGGCAGGGATGGTGCCGGGGAAGCCCTGCAAGAACCTCTCGGCTGCAGCACATCGGTGCTGGCCCCCGTGCTCTCCTTCCCCCTCCCCAGCAGCCTCCCTGGCGCAGGGCTGGCAGGGCACCAGGGAAATTAAGCCGAGAGAAAAGCAGCCATCTGGGCTCTAACAGACAGGTCGTTTAATGAACAAAGGGAATTTTCTAGAGAAGCTGGAGAAATGCAAGCGTCGGAATAAAAGCAGTGGTAACCCCGCCGAGGCTGCCCTGAGAGAGGAGCTTTCAGGGAGCGCTGAATACCGGGGTAACGCCCCGTCCTGTCTAATTAAAGGATGAAGCAGGAGATGGGCCGAAGCGGTGGGAAGCAGGAAGGAGCAGGCTGGGCTGGGGGTGAAGTTCAAGGTTTTCTGTGCCACAAAGAGTGGGAGCAGCTGCCCACCAGGGCAGGAGCAGCCACCCCGGCAGCCCTCTGCCGAGGAAGCTACTTGTGCATCTTTGGGGATGGGATTTACACCACTAAGTCTCTTAGGAGACTTTAGGCACCCTCATCTTAACTCTCAGCATGTTCCCCTGCAGAAATTAAGACTACGACTCATGTGAAGGACAGAAAACCCAGGCGACTTCCCCTGGCCACAGCTCCAAAGTTCAGGGTACAAACCTGGGCACCCTCGCTCTCACCTTGCATATCCACCACGGTCTACGGACACCTCCTTTCTGCTCTTCCTCATAGGAGAACCATCATCACTCATAATTCAATTTTAGCGCACTTCCTCACCCCACCGTTCCGTGCTCTGCCGCATTTCACAACCTTGTTTCGCACACTCGCAGGCAGTGCTCCCCCTCCTCCTAGGGCTGGCGAGCAGGTCTCTTCTGAAGCTCTTTCAGGTTATTGAACTACTATGTTAATGCAGCTTGTTTCCCATCAGTTGAGGGCAGAGTGCCGGGGACATCATTTATTTTCCATGTTTATTTATGTCAGGAGAGTCCTTAAAGGATTTGTTTGCAGCTGCTTTGGTTGCTGCTCTTGCCGAGGTTACCTCCCGCCCTGCCACGTGCCAGCAAGTCAGGCCCGGGGGGACTGGAGTCCACCAGCTTCCTTCAGCTGTTTTGATGCCGTGGAAACAACTAATTTCCTTTGTGCTTCTTAACGAGGAGCAGAATCTCCCCTTTTTCTGGCTAGTAGGCCCTTATGCCCCCTGAAGGTAAGGCCAGCCAGGAACTGGCAGTGACCCCTCAGTCCAACGCCCCTTCACAGTCCCCAGAGAAGGGCCAGTTCTGGTCACCTCCTTTTTGGATGGCTTGAGCATGCCCCATCTGGCCTTCGATGATACAATCACAGCAGAAAGCAATGTTGCTCCCATGGCCTGTGCCCCTCGCCCCAGGAACAGCTCCTCCTCCAGGACGATGCGGATGGAGACCTGGAAGCCCTTGGAAAACTGAAGTGTTGGGGTTATCTCAACTGAGCCCTCTGCCCCTCTCATCCTCATGGAGGAACCAACTGGGTGGATATTTTACTCTGCCTGCCACTGCCTTTATTATTATTTCTTCAGGCTCAGTCACGGCTGCAGGTGGTCACTTTTTTTTTTTTTTTTTTTTTTTTTGCTATGAGCGATAAAAGTCTAATTTGCAAATGGAGGTGACCTCCTCTGCACCAGCCCCTCCCTGCTCGGGGCTCTGCACCAGCCCCGGTCCATCACCCACGGATGATGGCCAGACCCTGCACCCTTCCCCAGGTGGTCCAAGCTGGTACATTGCCCTGCTCCCAGCTGCTACCCAGCAACTTCCAGCTCTTCAGAGCATCCCGAGGTGATGTGCTGGGGAGCTGCCTGCCAATTAGTTTTTCTCTTTAGGGTTCAAGGCTACCCTGGTGGAGGAGAGCGTGCCATATCGATTTCCTCCGTTGTCCTCGCAACCGTCCGGGCAAAGAAACATTTGTTATTTTGTGACAGTTCCCCGTGGAGGCCGCTCAGGCATCCTACCCGCTTGCACAGCCGAGCTGGCAATTTTGCCAGAAACTCTGCTTTAAAGGCTTTTGCAACGTTAATTAAATTTCTGCAGTTGTATCTCTTGGCTCTGAATAAGATCCTAGCCTCTCTGAGCACGTGAGGAAGGGCTCAGCTCCTTGTCCCCGTTCAAACCTGGCTCTGAAGAAGTCTGGCTCCCAAGACTGAATTCCCTGCACGCAGCATCAAAACCTCAATATTGTCCCACACCAAAAGGAAACGAGCTCACGGTTCAGACCTGGGGTGGGTCTAGATAGCCTAGAAGCTGAGAGACAATCCCAGGGCTACAAAAAACCAGATGTCCTTGCCTGGAGAACCGATTCCTCTAAAGAGACAAGCAAAAATTAGTATCTACGATCATACAGACAGGCAGGATGCAAGAGGGACAGCAAATCACCCCAAGGGCTCCGGGTAAATTTGACACAAAGCTCCCACAACTCCGGCTCCCTTTCACCTCCAGCAGCGCGACGACCTCCGCCAAAAGGGCTGGGCTTTCGTAGGCACTGCGCTCCAGGAAAGAGAGGAGGGAAGAGCGCCTGCCAAGTGCCTGGGAAAGGCAGGAGACAGGTTGGGTTTAATAGTCAAGATTCTTTAGAAATTTAAAACAGAAGCTGTTTTTTCAGGAAGAGGGTATTAATAAATGAGATAGGAGGGAAACATGGAGGAGATAAGGAGAACTTGAATTCAGGAAAGCTGCAGGACTGGGGCTTCCCAAGCAGCAGGGCTAGATCCACTGCCCGAGCTGTTCCCAGGGCGGAGGTGGGAGATGGAACAGAGGAGGGAAAACAAACCGACGGTGCCAGGCTGGCATTTCCTACACAGCACAGCGTGATTTCTGCCAGCTTTTACAAAGGGGCCTGGAAGCGAGGCGGTTGGCGGGGTCAGAAGATGCTTGGCACCAGCAGGTTTGCTCCAGGGCAGTTATTAATCATCGCCCTTCACCGCCGGAGCCGCCCGAGTGCGGCAGAGGGGTGGTGCTGGGCTGCGAAGGTGACAGCCAGTGCATTGGCGCTGCAGTCCCGTGGATGCGTTCACCCGCTGACGTTTTCGGGAGGTGGCCGAAGCGGTGTGGCACCTTCCCGAGGAGAGCAGCGGTGCCGCTGCGGGCGGGCAGTGTTTGGGCTGTGCCCGCTCTGCGGCTGCAGGGAATACCCAGTGGGCTCAGCACCACGGTGCGCTATTTCCAGAAGAAAGTCAGAGTTCATGCAACTGTTGATAAAGACATTTGCTACGAGGTAGGGGGCAATTTCAGCAAAATAAGAGTAAGGCAGCACACAAGGCGCTCTGCAAACTTTATCCACTTAAAGCACAGACCGCCATCACCACGCAGCCATGCAGTGACCAAAGGTCTGCACCAAGGGGCAGGATTTGAACGCTGGGAGCCCCTTCCTCCCCAGCTAAGTTGATATCATTTCCCTCACCCTCCATTAATACCAGCAATAAAAAAGGCATTAGGGCAGCAGCCTGGAGGGCTGGGCACAGCACAGACCCGCGGGCAGAGCCCAGCACCCCAATGTGCTCCCGTGGGTGGGTTTCCAACCTCTGTACCCAGCCCAGCACCAGCATATTTTCTCGGATATTTTCCCAGTTTCCACAAGAGGGCACCGGCACGACACCGACGGGGACAGCCCGGTGTCCCCAAGCAGAGCCCACCGGCCCCTGCCCACCACCCAGGGCCCTACAGCAGCAGCCGGGCTCTCCAGGGGCTCAGGGACGGGATTTCACCCTGGGGTTCTGGCTGCAGAAGGCAAGAGGTTGATGTACATCTCCCAGGAGAGCTCCCTGCAAAGGCTGCGAGCGGGGAGATCTCAATTCCGGAGACCTGGCTCACCAAGACATTTGCTATCGCAGAAAGAAACCCTTTTTGCTCCAAAATGTGATTTTTCGGGAGCAGCTCTGCTAACACCAAGGGGCTGCAGGGAGGGGAATGGGCCTTCCCTGGTGGGTGTGGAGGGGCATCCACCATCACCCGTTGCCTCCAACCTCTGCATCCCCATGCACAGCCCAGGCAGGGAGCGTGGGCCCTCAGGAGCTGCTCCTCTGGGGAAACAGCTTTGTCTGCAGGGCGCTCTTGGGGTCCTGGCAAACCCTGATGCAGGGAAAGACCTAGCTGGAAAGAGAGAGACCAGTGAAAGTAACCCTCCCAGTAACAGAAGCGTGGATGAAAAGAGCTGGCCCAGATGGGCTTTGCAGGGCAGCTCCCTGGGGCACACACCTACCCCAACCCAGGGGTCAGCCAGCAGACCCGCAAGTGTCCAGAAGGCAAAAGTCACTCCATGACATCACTTGGGAGAGCTGCATCCCGCAGCTGCAGCCAGGGCGGGCCTGGCTCCTGGCAGTGCTCCTCTTCTTCAATGCCTCTGGCTCCCAGCAGCATCACGCACGGGGACAGGAGCCAGCGCTGCCAGGACCCTGCCGAGGAGCAGCCTAACCACACGCAGGGCGCCATCAGCACCGAGGCAGCAGCGCTTGTATTCATATCCGCAACTCCGAGCAAATACGTGAGGGGCCGCTTCCTCCACCGCGCGACCCTCTTCACTGTCGTCGTTCGATGGGGACCAAAGCAGCTTGTAAGAGCCAAAATACACAATGCTACCAAAGTGCTGACCCAGCAACCACCTCTCACATGGAGCCCCTTGAGCTGTACCCCAGGGAGCTGCAGCGATGGTCAAAGGAGACCCTATGAAAGCCACCCAACACCAGACTGGACTGGATACCCTTCACGAAGGGAAAACTTTGACTATTAGAGACCTGGTGCTCGGAGCTTTCGGCAAGTAACGCAGTTGCTCGGTCAACAACTACATCTTGTACCTCAGTGCCTGGCAGATCAGGCACTTGGTGCTCCAGGTTTTAGGCAGAGAAAGACAATTTTGGTATCTTCCTGGGGAAGTTTTTTAACCCAGGTGAGCTTAGAGAAGACTACTCAAATCACTGTTGCCCCATTCACCGCCATATGGGACCCTGGAGCACGACAGCTGATTTCCTCTAGATTATCTTGATCTTGCTGGACACTGAGTGAGTGCGTGCCAAAGCACAAGGTGTATTAGAAATACCAAAACAGCAAGAGATTGTCTGATGGGGCTGTCATTCTGCCATGAAATATGACATGCATCCAGCCCGGGAGGAAGAACTGGATTGCTGTACACTTCAGTGCCGGCTGAGGCCATGCAAGATTATTCCTCGTTTTGGAGTCTCATTGATCAGACCTGGAGGATACATTTCTGCAGCATAAACGAAATGTGGCAAAAGTCCCAAACCACCTGCCACTCTTCAGCTGAGCCTTTATACAAAACATGTTGCCGTATCACAGATGCATCTATGAGGGATTTCCCTTTTGTGAACCCAACTTCCTCTGGTTTTTGAGCAAAAAGGCATCTCTGACATGAAGGATGCAAAGGTAGAGACAGCATGGCTTGGTACAGAGCAACAGGGAATTTGCCGAGCAGCAATAAAATGGAGAATAAACATGAAAAATAAAAGCCAATTTAACACAGAGAATTTATCAAAGGACCGAAGATGCTTCTTGCGCAGCATCACTGACTGCCCTTCTGTTGGCAGACGTGCCAGAGGGACACTATGAGTACAAAGAAGGAACAGCAACAACAAAGTAAACACCAGCTAGGACATAACTAATGTTGAGTGGCTGTAATATCTCTGGAGGAGATCCCACATGGCTGGCTCAAGAAAAACAGAAGAGACTGCTTTGTTTCTCCTTGCTCAGGGAAAAATGAGACCTGATCCCCTTTCCCAAAGACTGAATTCATCAACTCCAGAGATTACAGGTAATTAGATCTGGAGTCATGATGGGATTGGCTCTAGCAGTTACGGTATCTTTTTGGTCCTCGTGCCCTCCTTGGGGTCCTATAGCCAAACTTCCCAGGAGCTACAGCAGGATAAAGGAGCGTTTGCTTGCGCCACACCCTTTACGCAAGCAGACCTCCACGTTTTTTGCTAATTTTTGCCTTTGAGCAGGCACTGTACCCAGGGCGGCTGTGGAGGAGCCCAGCAGAGCCGCCCAGCATCTCAGGGCATCGGGAGTCACAGCTTTGACTTCGAAGGCAGCATGAAAATCCTCCTCCTGAGATGTACTTCGGCCACAATATCAGCGGTGCTACTTCTGCATGTGACAACATTCCAGTGAGAAAAGCAAATCTGCATGAAGGGTTGACTGATACATAGACCATCAAAGCCTGAGAACAAGCAGCATAGCCTGTAACTCGCAGTGTTTCTGAAAGTCTACAGCTGCCGATCAAGTGCATGCTTCCTCGGATGAGCGGGTTTTCCTCTCAAAAGAGATCTCCCTTCCTCCCACACCCATCTCTTCTACCTTTTTATCCCACTCAGGACCCCTCCAGGGTTCAGCTGCTGACTTGGTCTCAGATTCGCTTCTTCAACCTCAAAAAATCCTTGGACAGCGAGATCCCCAAAGTCTGGCAACAGCCCGTGAAGTTTCCTTTTGATCTCTCGGTAATCTGCCATCTCCAGCACAGGGCATTTTGTGGGAAGTGGAAAAATCCAGAGCTGGGTGGCTTGGGATGGAGGCCCTGGGGAAGCTGTACGGGATTAAATGCCTCCACCATGGTGCAGGAGAGGCAACCTCTGCAAATCAAGACAGACCTGTGGATGAAGCAGTCCAGACCTCTTATCTCCTACTTGCACTGAAGATGAGAGAACTTTTTGTCCTGTCCTTAGAGGAGGGCACGCGTAGCAGGCTGCGTAGGACACACTCAAATTGCAGAGCAAGTCCAGGGCGTAACGGCAGCACCCAGGCTGTTGGGTGAACTTCAGCAGCCGGGAGCTGAACCACAGGAGATGCCAGTTGGGGTCTGTTAAACGACAAGACGATATAATCCAAACATGTCCATCACCTTCAAGCAAGGACCCTGTGACACAGGTAAAATTGCTTTTGTTCATCCAAAAGATCAATATTGTCAGGATGAAATAACATGTCAGCCGGTGTGAAGAACTCTGCCTGACCACTGACAGTCAACAGGCAGAAACTCCCTCTTGAAAAAATAATATATAAAAAAAAATCCTGAATATACTGCCACTTTCCAAATCACCGTATTCAGACTGCTCTCGCCAGCAGCTGTAGATCATCCCCAGATTTCTTGGAAGAATGATTTTCTGTGCACATGGTTTATTCTGGTGCAGGAAATTCCTCAGATTTAATCGGGTTCTTTTCTATTAAATCATTACGGCTAATCAAACTGCCGGAGTCCCGTCTGAAGACCACACTCCTCGCTGAACGTCGGCATTTACTCCACATCAGTCCCGGCAGGACTTTCCTCCCAACAAACCTGTTGTCAAAGGCAGCTTCTCATTACACGCATCTAAAACTGCCCGGTCCTTCAGCAGCTTCTTCCCCTCGCCCCCGCACGTCTGCTTTGTTTTGCACAGATTTAACTTTGCATACATGGTTTGGTGTGGGTTTTTTTAATATAACATCAAATCTCTTAATTCTCTGACCCAGAAATCAGAGACAATCCTCATAAAAATCTGGGACAAAGAAGACACACGCAGCTGCACGTGAACAGCAGCAAGAGCTTCCGAAACTCCCAAATCTACCCATTTAAAGGGATTTCGATTAAAGAAAGCATTTTGAGAACTGTTGCTGTCAGATCTCAGGTTATTTTGAAAGCAAATCCTTGGCTTTCAAGTGCAGCTCTACTTTGAATGAGACACTTTAAAGAACGACGATGCGACGGCCCAGGTTTACCAGTGACCAGCGAGGGCTTTTCCCTCCCACGTTGCCACCTCCACAAGGCCAGGTAGGACCCGAGACCCACACGGGGTACGCGCCAGCTCCCACAGCACCCAGAAATAAAGGTTCCCTCAGCCGCAGTGTGACCTTTCCCAGAGCTGCACAGCCCATTCCTGCAGCGCTTTTGCCAATGAGTAAATAATGAGAAATTAGTGCGTGGCCCCAGCGATGAGTCAGAGCGAGCTGCCGGCGGCACTAATGAACCTGCAGGGACAAAGCAGGGTGTCGGAGACATCCATGCCCCTCCGGTTTCATGACGACATCACCCATGTCATAGCCATGTCACGCCTGTGTCCTCGGCGGGGCCGATACGTGTGGTCCCACCGGCAGGTCATGCCCCGACACCAAACCGGGAGAGCCCCATCCGATGCCAGGCAGGGAATGGGAACGCGCTGCATTTCGCATCGTGTCTTTACAAGTTTAATCTAACGGGGGAGAATAACGAAATATCGTGGGTTGAGTCAGATAGGTGCACGCAGGCAGAGACCTCCCTTGTGAGAGCCCCAGGAGTTTTTAGGGGCAAAAGAAGGGTACAGAGGTACATCTCCACCGCACA